GGTCATGTATCTGTCAGGAGATTGGTACAAGCAAGCCCCTGGAGGGATGAGATGCCAAGAGAAAGGAAGAAGACAGCTCTTGTGTGGAGTGTTGTACTTTTAGGGCGACGGGCTGAAGCATGCAGATGATTGAGCAAGGGGGGGGTTGTGATTAGTGACGGAAATGAGGATTCATCTGTTGAGAAAGTAAATCTTAAAAAGATCCTGACACCGGACAGTTTGGCAATTGGGTTGTCTTGGGGAAATTAGGAGTTATCAGATTACCCTGCAACATTTAACAGGCTGGCTGAGGCTCTCTAAGTGGAAGACAGCAGCACATTAGTGTGAAACTGAGAATCCATTTAGTGAAAGTGGGTTTTCAGAGACTATTGTTGCTCTCAAACCATCAGGAAGGCAGGCGGTTAGTTAATGGACGTGACTGTGGAGAATTTGGTGGCTGGATTCTCCCTTCATCTCTGGAACTCTTGCATCCTTACTAAGATCTCTCTGTCTGAACCTCTGCTCCTTTTTACCCGGTAAGAAATGCATCCAGAAGATTACTGTTTGTGGGGCTAACTTTTCATCTTAGAGGTTATGGATTAAACTTCAGGTGACCGCTTTGGATTTGTTATGTGATTAATTAATTAGCTTTTATCAGTCTATCGATGTGTAAAATGTCATCTGTGTTACAAAACCTGCAAGCTTGACAACACAAATGACAGCATATCCGTTAATCCTCAGCTGGAAATATAATCTGATGTTGCTGCTGTTCATAAAAATACACAAACTATTTATGTGGTTTATGGGACTTCTCGCTACCAACACTGCAGCTGAATGTCTCTAAGTTTGTTCTAATTCTGGTTAGAAAAGGAAACTTATACAGGTTTATTGCACACAGAGGGATGTATTCCAATAGGCTCCTGTGTTAGAGGATACATGAAAGGGAAAGCAAAGATGGCAGAGGGCTGAGTGAGTGAGTGGGGTGAAATGTGAGCGTTTCAAATGCATGTGGGATGGAGATGCGGCTGAGCTTATTCCCTTTCAGCATAAGATTCAAGCTTCTACAAACCTGCTTCATAACATCCTTTATAAATGCTGTCATGTCCTTCAGAACGTTAGTTTAAGCAGCAACGGTTCACTCAGTCAGGCAACTTCAGCCTTATAGCAGAATGCATGGAGCCGTCAGCATTAAGCAGTTTATTAGAGATTGGATGTAAGAGAGGCCAGAGCTGTAACCGTCTGATTGGTTTTCTTCTTCCTCTGATGTCTTTATCAGGTCCATTAATACCCTGCTGATTGCTAATAAAAGCTTAAAAGAACAAAAACTAAAGGCTTTGGAGCTGAAACACCATTTGCATTTATAGCTGCTAACTCAGCAGGTTACATTTAGAATTAAAGGTTCCCAATCCAAACATATTTATCTGTGTAACAGCAGGAAATGCCCATTATAGCTTTGCCCAGGTTTAGCTTTCTAAATTTCATAACCCATCACTTCGATTGAAGTATGTCTACGGAAGGGAGGATCAGAATTAAATGTATTTTTCCTCCCAGATTACGAATGTTTTAAATGTCATGTCGATCCTGTTATTCTAAAAGTACGCATTGTAGAATGACCCGATTTCAGCCCATTCATTTTACTGACATTAAAGGCTGTTGGAGATTGTTGCCTAGAAAGTTGTAAATGATAATTAACAGAGCAAGGCCAGTTATAGAATCCTTGGAGGCTGTTTGGTTGGCGGGTTTTAGTCTTATCCCCTAACATGTACAAGGAGTGAACAAATGCACCAGTTGAGCAAAACATTATGACCACTGAGAGTCAAACATTTTGTTCTTGCAGATAACGGGCACGTCTTGGAGTCTGAGAACTGGGTTGGAACTCTCTTTGGTGCTCCTCGTCGGCTGGTTTCTGTATTTTTTGAAAAGCGGTGCAAAGACAGAACAAATCCAGTCTCAGGGTCATTGACAGCCATGGTTAACCAATGCATTCAGGGAGAGAAACACTGATATGATGTTCTTAGAGGGCTGTTAGAATACCTGTCCCATCAGAAACTGCTACTAGTGAGGCCGCCTTACTACAGAGCAGTGAGCGAGCTGATTCTGATCATAATGCTATGTCTAATCTGTGCATACTCGCATGCTGGGGACTTAATTCTCCTTTGATATATCCAAAGATCCTATAATCATTAAACTTAAATGAAATATTCTCTTTTTCTGCAGCTAAAGCAAACCTTTAAGGCTAAAGTAGAGGCCAGAATCGACTCCATCAGGGCAGAAACGTCTCCATCAGCTGCTTGGGCCTTCTTGTGAAAATGAATCATTCATCACCACTCCGGGATTTTATTGCTACATTTCTATTTAAAATTTTTAAATAAGAGCAGCAATAAAAGTCCACTTCCACAGAGCTTAAATCTAAAAGAAGTACTTCTAAAGAATAGTTTCCTAAATAATCCAGTCAACCATTTCAAGCCTTTTTTTGCTTTTTCCTCTCTATCCGGTTTTAGTACAGGTCAGATGTGAGGTATGTGGCTCGATTGGTGAAACAGGTCTTTACGAAAAGAAGAATTTCGTCATGTTACAAATTCAGCTGACCATTTTGGTGTAACGTGGCGACAGTTTCCCACTCTGGGTGGCGGAGATGACTGTAACTATGCTGCAACTGTTACCTTTGGGTCATCCTGTGTACGTGATGGAAAAAAAAACCTGACGACGTTCAGCAAAGCCAAAAACCAGTTCAGCAGTTTGCTTGTTATCTTATAAGTACATTTAAGTTATGTGAGTAAGAATTTATTGATTAGATTTGGCTTTGAGCTGACTTTTAGAAGTGAGAAGTATTTACTCATTTTAATAAGAGTTTCTATCCTGACAAGGATGGAGAAATAAAATATAGTATTATTATAGTATATATTAAGTCTAATTCATGACGTTATATCTTCATTTGAACTATTTGCCCATCAATGTTTATTTAATGTTATCTAACGGATAAATGGGAGTTTATTCAGATATAAAAATGTCAAGTTCACAACTTAAGACAAAACAATAAAAAAACAAAAAGAAATCAGCATTTATCACAGGACACTCAGTCCCCTATGTCCAAGTGTTCTAGATTGAATAGGAATTTAATTCAGACGATTTGACAAACGACAATAAATGAATCAACCAAATACACAGAAAAGAGACTAGTTTACATCAACCAAACTAAACAATTTTCACACCAACTAAATTCACCTGAACATGAATGACCAATAGACCTGTTGTTATATACAGCCAGGGAAATTACATTGATTAATGTATATTGTCTGTAAAGGGGAATCAAACAGTAAAACCTATTTTTCCTCTCCCTCAGATGGC